ATTTATTTTTGTTCTGGTGAAAAAAAAATAAGCTCAAGCTGAATAACCAAATTTGAAATCAATACCTACATGTACTAAGTTTTTTGAAGACTATTTGATAGTGTCCTCTTTTCAGTATATTCATAATTTTTTCAAAGCCCCACTTTAACATCTTCAAGTATCCCCTCATGATCAGCATTGTAAATATTGTACTTTCCCTACTTTTTCTTTATTATAAAGTTCTTACTTTATTTAATAGACAATATTTTTATTCTCAGGAATTCATTCATCACTTATCCATCCAAGACAAAGATATATTACTTACAAGGCTACTAACACAAGGGCGYGGCAGCCTAGAATTTGCTAAAGATATATTGCACGGAGACCAGGATCCTGAACCATCTGTTCCAGAGCCAAGCCAGCAGCCAGGTTGGTGTGTGTGCGGTATTTGCCAGCCAATGCCCTTAGATATTGAAAACAAATGTTGTGGGAAGAGGACATGTGTTACTTGCTTTCAAATGTTTCATAATGTATGTATAGACAGAGAAGTGCTCACTCTTGCTATTCGGGCAAGATTCGACGTTATGGCTGAAGAAGCTKATTAYTCAGCCAATGCATATCGAAAAGCATCGTATAGACAATTTTGCTTGTGGAARTATGGCAAGCTAGGAAGAGGGAACAGGAGAGTTCTTCCTGCATGTGTTGTTAAAATGATCAGGCAGGCATATCCTTCAGCAGATGGTCATTACATGGGTTATAGAGAATCATGATTCTCTATAACCCAATTCATGATTCTCTATATATAACCCATGTCATGACCATCTGCTAAAGGATATCCTTGCCTGATMATTGTTAAATGTAAAATAATTGTAAAATGTTGGGATTTCATACTTGTGTTACTGGTGAAGGTCTATCTTACAGTGCGGCTACTGAAATCGGGKCCACTTGCAGCTTTCAACTCAAGCTTCTAATTAGCGTGGGAGACTTCAGTTTGATTAKTCAATGCTGTATATTTGTCTGGTTTCATTGTACTTTTACAGCTTTCTGATTAGCTGACTTTATCAAGGCAACCCCAGTTTCGATAGCTTCACTGACCTGTAAATGTTTATTACCTATTAATAAATCTATAAATAAAGATTTATAACTAACAATGTACATGGGATGCATGCCAATGGCCAGCTAGAGACCTCATTACTAACCAGAATATAAAGCTTAGCTATTTYTGTAGATCTCAATAAGATCATATTTACATGAAATGGTAAAAATAGTGTTTTTTATAAGCCCATGAAAGTTATTTACTAAATAGTAATACAGCAAACACCCAAATCAAACAAAAGGAAACAATAKGTTCATATACCAGTAATTTGATGAAAATCACTCTATCAATTCACATTGGCTTACATTACATTTTTTTGTTAATTTCACTTTTTTCCTGACAGCCCTTGTCTCAATAAGGTCTGAAGTTGATGGAGGTTCCCTCATTGCAATATTTTGGGCAAGATTTACTGGGTTTGTTGGAGCTATGGAGATATGTCTTCCAATCGAATGAGGATCATCTACTCTTTTTTGTAGAATTTCACAAATAAGACTTTCCAAATAATCATACTTCTTTGGAACTTTAACAGGTTCCACACGCCAATTTCCAGAGCGCTTAGAATATAACTTGTGAAATCGTTCCTTTTCTGCACGAAAAAGGTGAAAATTGTGGTCTAGAGCAGCAAGGATTGATCTTCCTGTGAAAGCCTCATACCTATTGAAGATAATATCATCAAAGTCTAAGAGGACAAACATGYAGATATTSTACTGTACAGTATATTATTCTATATGGCAATTCTTTATTAGTTTTCTAAACTTAATGCCACAGTACCAGTTTAGTAATTGTGAAATTCTCTTGGAACAGTTGTCATGAAGTATTGCACTTTTGTTTTAAATATAGTTGTCAGTCTATATTGTTTATAAAGGTYGATGTACTTACGAAAATGCAATCCTCTTGGGGACATATTTAAGCATCATGGAATGAAAGTTTTCAAGATTGCTGGTGTGTCTAGAAGTCAATAATAAACAATAACTTCATTGAGTACATAAAGCTTACATGTATTTTACAAAATGGAATTTAAATGCTAAAAATGGAAAAGACTCTAAACTCTGAACTGAATGTACTATAATTATTGTCACTCAACAACAATCAAATAGTATCTCAAAATCTTTTGATAAAAAGTAAAAMAGGCACTTTGTAATATTCACCTGATATTGGAAGAAAAATATGCATACAATGTATATTAGAAATACCTGATACACTTATTACCTAAAAAATACATAGAACTGTAGGCTCTTTAGCCACTTTGGATCAAAAATAATCTTCCTCAATTCAGTAGCAGCCTTGCTACTCTTTGCCAGTGTCCTCCTATCCTCCTCCACCTGGTTTGGTGCATTACCATGATCRCATGCCCCACCATCCCACTCRTGTTCCCCACATACATGATGTATGACACCAATCCAAGATTCCTAAAAAATTTAAATCATTTATTAACTGAAATGTATATTGTATTGTAAAGTTAAAAAAA